TCCGTATGATGGCAGCCCTAGCAACATTTTCATGTATAATGAAGTACTGTGATGTAATGTATAAGGAAATATTGAGATGTAAATGAAACTAATTATCAGGATGATCTTGATTATCTTTCTACTTCTGGCAGTTTTTCTGCAGTTTAATCATCTCATTGCTGTTTTTTCTAAACTATTTTTAAGGGATTAAGATTCAAAGGATATGCCTTTGCCAGTCCTTGACATAATGAAAATTTAGCGTTGAAAACTGAGAATCCTGTTGAATTTGGCCTCATTCCGGAAGGCTAATAAATCACTAGCAGCAAACAGTTGCCAAAGAACACACGAACTCATCAGCAGTGCCTCTCAGTGATGTTGTAGCCGTTGCTTCCTGAATTTAAACATGAAGCATTTTTTTTTCAGTCTTTTAGAGCCTGTAATTGTTTTTGTTAATGCTGTGCATGATTATTTGAAAAAGTGCAGGAAATATTCCTAGGAATTTTCCATAAATTTCAGGAAACTAACCAGCCCCCCTATGTTCTTTCTAGAAAACCTTAGGCACTCGGAAGTGATAGCACTTTTTCTGCAGCAGCAGCAACCATCTGTTGAAGGAAATGTTTCCGGTATTCCTTTTTCTGGGCATTACTTCAAGAAGGCAGGTCAAAGTCGATTTTATTTAGTGTTTTCCTCAAAATGTAGAAGATTCTCAAAGTTAAACGTCTCCTTCCTTTCTTCCCTTATCCTATCTCTCCATTTCGCTTCCTTGAACGAAGACCTGAATGAAGAAACCATTTCCAGCCGCAGTCGTATGCCGGAAAAAAGAATCTGAAAAATTTCTCTTCCGAGGGCTTCTCTAGGTATGTAAGCCAAAATCGGTTTGAAAAAGAAAAATTTCCAAAAACTGTTGAAATTGTCGAAGTTACGCACCCCTCCTCTCCGGTCCTCCCTTTCTCTCCTTATTCTGACTTTCATCAAAGACGGAGATTCGAGTGATTGCACTTGCCGGTGCAACTGCCTGCGGGGACAAAAAGATTTTTGGTTGTTTCTTCGGAGGGTTGCTTTGAGGTAACAAATTGAAGTCGACGTAAGTAAAGAAAGAGTATTTCAGGTATTTTTCTCAAACTCGAAAAGGTTATCAAAGTTAAGAAACTCTTCTGCTCGCTCCGTCCTTCCTGCGTTCTCTTCCATTATCCATTGAAGCAAGTGGAGGGTTGAGAAACTGCATTTTCACTGTTATAGCTTCTTGCTGCCAAGTAAGATTTTCGGTAACTCACCCTTCCGAGGGTCTTTTTGAGGATGCAAATCGAAACTAAATTGCATCATTAGCAATAATTGGGGCACATTACTTTCAATCTACCGTCGAAACAATTCAAAGATTTGTGAAAGAATTTGATTTTCCTCTAAAGGACCTATCAAATGGTTTGGATAAAATTTGCTTTTATAGGGCTACTGTGTTATACTAAGGTTTCAATTTTTTGAGTAACCACTTATACTCAATGTCAAAAATCCAGCAATTCTAGCAGCAATTCTTATCGGAGAAGAATGAAAATAACAAGAACATTGGGGATTTGAGCAGATTTTAAGAGAATACAGAATCGAAAACGGATAACATAGTAATTACGATTGAAAAATGTGCGTTTCTGCGAACATTTTTCGTCCAAAAAGATGAATACTACATTTTCATATCTCATACCATTTTCAGAATATGTATAATTATTGTTAATGGGTTTGCAAGAAATCATCTTATCTGTGGACTGATATCGAAATGCTCAAAAGGTGAAATGTTCAATCTTCTTGAGAAAAACCATTCCGCAAAAAAATTAAAAAAGAAATTCTGATTTTTGAAAAAGGAAGCCAAAGACTGCATATAGAAGGGCTTTCGGTTGGCGTATATTTTACTGCGTCGCTGATTTCCTCAAACTGTCCAACCGAAAGAACCGTATCCCTTCCTTTAGTAGAATTTTGATAAAAGGATGACATAAGGATGCGAAAAGTGGTCACTTACGAAAGCTGACAAACGAGCGCTGATTGTGACGGAGAGGTGATAGAGCGAAAGATGCTCA